AACTTACACATACGATCAAGAGGGGGACCAAAGAGATTTGGAGAAACTGCAACACAATCATTTGGCATTTTGTTACAGACTAACTATCGACAAATCATCAGCTTAATCCAAACTTAAAGCCAGAGACCCTTTCCTCATGTTATCTCTTAATATCTTGGAAAACTTTCAAACATTTTGTGGAATAAAGAGCGTGCAGCCTGATGAAGCTGCACTAACATGCTAACATTACACTCCTGTCTGCCTGCTGTGGGAAGGTCGACCCACAACGATTGTTTCCTCTTCTCTCCCGCTGAGTCAATGTTTCAGCAAAAAGAAGAGGAGTCACCAAGCCAAATCAACAGAACAAACGCCAGATGGAAAAAGCACTCCGATAGTCCTGCCAGCCCTGCCCTGGCACATATAAATACAAACACCTCAGCTAAAACACGAAACCTCAAGGAAATACAAAAGAACGATACAAGTGACGCCAGTCCAATAACAACATGAACACAGTTGTTTTCATTTGCACTCCGTGGGGAGGTTTGCTCCCTGAGGAAGATGAATCACAGGTTCCACCTCACATAATAGCAGCTCATCTGTTGAGCACATATACACTTCTAAATCCAGAGCATATGTTTGATGTTTCCGTGGGCAAAACATCTTCATCTGAACACCATGGAAGTAAGGCCTACCTTGAATGAATATATTCAAAAAGGTGTAAAAGCCTCTCAATAAATTCAAAACAATTTCTATGACTTTGTATAATGCTGTTTGAGAGCCCTTATAGTATTTCTTATGTAGATTTAACCGCGTACCAGACATCCTGTCGGACGCAAAGTAATGGTCGATGACCTCATACTGCAAGTCGATAGTGGGCACGTTCTCCGGGTGGGTCACAGCTACCGTCAGCAGGATGCCCATCAACAGATTGACCACCTGAAGAGAGGAAGGAGGGAAAAGAGAGAGGGTTTTTAAAAGAACAATTATTCATGTCTTAGGACATTACCATCAAATTGTTTAGCTTTTAAATTATTAACAACATTTTCTAACAACAGTTTTGGATAAAATAACTCCTTTAACCTGTTAAGATCGAAAATGACATTCCCAGAACAAATGACCATATCTTCCCTTCTAAAGGGGTTCAATTAATAATCTTTTTTCTCAAAGCAAGGTTACACCTGTGCGTTGGATGTAGAAGCGTCAGAATCAATATAGATGTTTTTATTTTAAAGTCAATTCAGATTGAACACAGTAAAAAAAATTAAATTATTGTGTCCGTCCAAAAAAAGAAGATTACTTATAGTGAAAAAACCCTTGAATGATAGGATGGTAAACTAAAAGCTTTAGGAATCCAAACTACAACATATAATAAGTACCCTGTATCAAGATTGATGCAAAACTAGTGAAATGTGACCTTTTTAGAGAGATTGGGGTCATTTGGGTGGATTTTCCATATCTCTGGCCCCCCTTGGTCGATTTTGATGATTGACATCTCTTTCTACCCGTCAGAGCCAANAAAAAAAATTAAATTATTGTGTCCGTCCAAAAAAAAAAGATTACTTATAGTGAAAAGCCCCCTTGAATGATGGGATGGTAGACTAAAAGCTTTAGGAATCCAAACTATAACATATAATGAGTACCCTGTATCAAGATTGATGCAAAACAAGTGACATTTGACCTTTTTAGAGAGATTTAGCAAAAAAAAACACTTCTGGGGCCATTTGACCTATCTCTGGCCCCCCTTGCTCGATTTTGCTGATTGACTCCTCTTTCTAACAGTAAGAGCCAATTGAATCGAAGGGAACTCCCACATACTCCTTATTTGGTAATGTGTGTATGTTAGACTGCCGCATAGCCAAGACCGGAAGCTGCGATCACTCTGGTGGCTACCATTAGCAGCTAACTTTTACCCTCCGATTTTTAAATAAAAATGGAAATATGGATTATAAATTAAAAAGATTATTACCGAGAAACATTATCAACCTATGGATTAGCCGATTCAACCGCGTTTTTTCTCGTTTTAATGCCATTGAACAAGTCTTTTGATCAGATTGACAGCTACGGTGAGACGATCTCCCGTAAAAAGGTACGTAAAGGTACGTATTGTGATGTCTGAGTTTGCTTCCCCTGTCGCGAGTTCGGATCACTCAGTGATGATACTATATACCTAAATAATCTGTGGAACCTCAGCTTTAAGCGCATATCTTGTATGTGCAGCTACGATAAGTAATAAGGGTACTTTTATCTTGAGTTCTATGCCAATGTGCGTTAGCATTTTTTGCTCAGGGGTCATTTAGATGCTTCTTAAGAGACTTGTGTTTTGTTTTGGTAAAAATGGTTTGTATCGTCAGTTAGCTGAGATTATTCCCGTTAATCTGGTATAACACATTAATAGGTTCTTAAATATTAAGATCCCCTGATACACATTGTCATGAAAAAAAAAAGTAAAGTACCCGCCGGTAAATTAAGGGAAATAGACATACAGTAGCACATGGTGCCATGACCTGAAACAACTGGATATCTGGAAGGAAGAACATCCAAGTTAATATAATCTTTTATAATAGATGGAATTTCAAATGAATGTGAAATATAAAATAAAATGGTCCTAGTCTATAATTTAAAAACTAGCTTTTTAGAGCTGGAACTAACCTGGAACCAGAGCATCTGTGACAAAACAAAGCATTATTGTTCGACACTGACCTCAACATTTGATCTAAAACTTCTCCAAATGTAACTGCAGAAAAGTGTCGCGTGCAGGCTGCTCATGTCTAGTTGTTTATGTGTTCTGACAATATCAAGGAGGATAGAGAAGGGAACTTATTGTGCATTTAAAATATTTATCTCTCCTCCTCCTGATATCTGGCTGTAGCTGTACTATCATTAAATGCAAAAAAGCCAAATTAACCACATTATCAGCTTCTCCCAAATATACCAAATCTTAACGTTAACTAACTGTATTGCTGTGTCTGGTTGTTGTATCCGATTTTTTGTGTGTGTTGCATCTAGCTTGAGACCTAGTGCTACATAAGATAAGATGGACCTATATTGATCCCCTCTGGGAAATTCAGTTTTTGTCAGCAATAGAATAAATGAAACACAGATAGTAAAAAATATACACAGGGATATTAACAATAGGAATTAGAAAATAAATAAAAACATGTAATAACAGTATGAATAGAAATAACAAAACAATAAAAAAAGGACTCAAACTCTGATCAGGTGAATTTACATGTATACAGATATGTGAACAAGAGTAACTATATATGCATCAGTGTGAAAGAATGGATTTCGTGAAAATAGAGGAAAATGCTCATGGGTTTTTGTATGAGTCAAGTAGTGTCCAGCTGGCAAAAAGCTTGAAATGCAACCGAAAACATCTGTTCTGTGACGTGGCGGAGGGGATTATTGCAGAAGTTAATGAGAAATGTGCAGAGGGCAGTAATAGCTGACCTTAGCAAACAATTGTAACTACTTCAGCCTGTCTATGAACTAATAGAAACTAGATAATATTATGTTAATACTTTTAAACAACAGAAATAATGTCAAAACCCGTATCCCTTACAGCATGCTACTGTGGATTCCCTCATTGCCAAGCTTGTTATGATTTGACAGCCATTACGCTATCAAGTTAGCGGAATGTTGCCTAGCTTGCGCTTACGTGCAACATAAGTCTAAATGTGACACATTTCATACCCTCTGAACCCAATCGGGTGTGGGTAACTAGCAGGAGTATGCCACTGACTGTCTTTATATCAATTAAATAACGGCGTTTTCAAGGTTGGGTGAGTTTTATCGACATAAACACTGAGCTAGTCAAAGCTGTAATTCTAGCAGGCTGCTAACGCTAGCTCTCTGTACAGTTATAAGCGAGGCGTGTAACGGCTGTTTAAAATGGTCAAAAAGTAGCACCTAGCTTACATTAAAGTTAACGAAAACAGTCGTAATACTAACATTGATATGTTTATCGAAAGTCTGGTTGACATTCATAATGTAACTTGTTACTTTTATCGAACTTATCACAGAACTTATTGACAAGCATTGCTAGCTAGCATTAGCTCGCTAATCCCCATCAACCATTTTACGCACCATATACCAAGTTCCCAGGATGATGGTCCCCGTCCGGACGTGGCAACATCCGCAACACCGGGTGGTGTACAGTCTGTCTCGAGTTGGCTTAAAGTGATGCATGTCCTCCACAAGCGTAGGAAGAAACATCGGGAGCTGGTCGTGGAGGATAAAATTCTTCACAGCATCAACAGTCAGAAGACGAACTCGGAGGAGGAACGCCCACCCAGCAAACTGACGAGATGCGAGGCACCGCGATAACAACACACGGGGAATAGAGGGTAACTTTGACTGACAGGAATCTCAACCAATGAGCGTGAAGACATTTACAGAATAGTGCTGCAAAATATGTCTGCTCTTTTAAATCACTTTTAACAACTCACTCTTTTAGAATTGCTTTTATGTGACTTTATTTTTATTTATTTATTCTTTATCTATGCATTTTAGTGTAATTATTTTCAACCTGTTTTTATGTTAAGATGCTGTTATTTAGTTCACTTGCTCTTTGTGTATCTTTATGTGAAAGCACTTTGTGACTATGTTTTGAAAGGTTCTATATATACATAAAGTGTATCATTATTATTATTATTAATAGGCTTTTTTAGGTTGTTGAAAAGGATATTTTATCCTTGTCGTTTTCTTTTACAATTAAACATCTGTATTGCAAAAGTCTCCAGACAATATTCTCTATGTGGTGTCATTATTGTCAGTATTAAGTGTGAGAGTTATTCAATTATTCCTTTAATTAACAACAGTTCAAGTGGCAGTTCCTCATCTAGCAATCAGTTGCCCTTTTAAGTGTTATGGTGTTACCTTTAGGAGGGTGTACATTATTTTGCAACTTCATCTTTTACCATTTGAAAATCAATCACATTTTCCTGATTAGTACATACATATATTAAATAAACCTTATACATACACTCTAGTTATATGCTAGTAAAACAAAAATAAAGACATTCAGGATTGATATTTTTTATCAACAATTATCAAATACAAAAATAGTAAATATCTAGGGTCTAGATGATATTACGAGATAGTTACATAGCAGCTCATCATTATTACCAAATTGTATTATTATTTACATTTATTATGCACCCTGCAATGAGTTCACCCTAGATTGCTCATGTCACATGGATTATTTAACGCACTGTAAAGGGGGATAATGCTGAGGTTTCCCTATTTAACACAGTTAATCAAGTATTTCTGGTTAAACCAGGACTCTAGTCAGGAATTTATAATAATGAGGTCATTAGTCCTGCATGCAGCTTAAAAGGCCCTGTTACACCTGGGAGTAACAGAGGGGAGAGGCTCACAGCATACATTCTGAAGTGTTACAGTATTAAAAGCAGTGGTGTTACTTACAACAATAACAATGGCTAAGTTTCATAAAGCCAGTCCCATAAAGTGTATTTTTTAAATGTAAAAGCTACAAAAAAGTGTGCATGGAAGCAAAGATAGCAGCCACTTAAAACAATTACATAGCTAAGTGTATTTTACATGGTTGATAATTAATCACATACTACATCTATGATCTTCTTTACACACAAAAAATGCCAAATAAGATCATACACCTGCTGACAATCCATAATTTATAAAGAAATAAAGCAAGTTAAAATTAGTTGCAAAACTTTACCTTAGGCCCTGTGTAGAACAAAGCAATCCCCAATTCTTTTTAAGATAGTAAACAAAAACAATTCTTCATAAATATAAATACATTATCAATGAACAACTGCAGATACATTTGTATTAGGTGGGATAGTCAGCGATTCATCCCCAACATTAAGAGAAGACAACACGTTTACAGTCGCTCCCAAGGTATACATTTGCCTGGCAACCTCCCTTTAAAACATAAACATTGGTGTTAAAATGTTAAGTTAAACAATCACTTCTTCCCTGTTGGGTCTGTGATAATCTCCACGTGAAGTCGTCTGCTGGGCCAGGACGTATCCTTCATTATCTTTCTTCTGCCATGTATAGATTAATATTGCAGCCATTGCAGCTGCAAGAACCACTCCTATCAGTCCTCCTGCAATAACAGCTGAACACAAATGACTGAGTTAGAAACAATCACACAGTGTAAAACTCTGTCAAATATGCTTAATGTACCGTAAGGCAAAGTACCAGCAAAGATTTCTTTGTTATCCAAAAAGATCTTGCTGCTTGCCACAAGAACATATTCTGATCCCATGTTGTCGTTCAGGTCTGAAGTACCCTATAATAAAAAAAGAGCAGGATTAAAAACTTATTTTCTGCTCTGCCATCTTCGAGGTTAAGAAGAAGTGAGACTCTACCGTACATCAAAGTTAGTCTGGGTTCCACCTCCTGCTGCTAACATGTGGATATCTTTGCTGTTGGTGTTTTTAATTTCACCTGGTGAGACAGAGAGTATGACATGTAGCCTATTGTGTTTGGTTTTTGAAAAAGAATGACAAGAACAGAAGATACTGCGTTAAGTGGAGTATAACATTTCTATAGTCTTTGTTTGTGGTTTTCAGCATTACTTTGTTCTGACCAATCTCCTGAACCAGAGCCAGAATTGTCCAAGTCATATCCTGATCCCTCCAAGTCTTCTGGAGGGCCAGGAAACTGATTTCATGGAGAAAAAGGGATGAAGATATTTAAAGACGCAGTTCAACACAATACTGTTTCCTGTTGCTGCTATTATCAGACATATGAAAACAGACATTGGGCTAAGTAAGCCTATGAAGGTACTTTCCTTAAGAGGACAATAAAGAATGAATCATATCTCGGATACAAAGTCCCACTGATGCAATGTCAAAACACACTGTGGCTGACAAACCCATAATGATGCAGTTATCACCAATAAAGTGTAATGAGTACATATTATAGCTTGAATTACATGGTAAAATAACTCCACCCCTTAAAGCCCCTGTCACACTGTCCCGAAATTGACACCCGATGGACACACGAATATGGAATTGTGAATTTCGCACGAAGATGGCCCCGAACCACACACGAAGGCAACATTTACATCACATTTAAGACATACAACTGCAACTAAAGTAACACAAACAATTATGTTAAAGTATTATGATACTGTACTGATATTTTCCGACTTTGTTCTTTACTTTCTCCGTCTTTATATGTAGAAGATATTACGTTTTCTCCGTCATGTTGTTTCCATAGCAATAACAACTTCCTCGCCTTCAAAATAATATATTATATCCTTTTTAGTTTCACAGAATACAAATTGGGTTATTTACATAATATGTTTACATGATTTTGTTGTGAAATAAAACAACCAGATGGACACACGATAAAGGAAATGTTCAAATTCGGCTCTGATCGTAGCAACATCGGGACATTCGTGAGGGCATCTTAAGCCATCTCTGGCATGCCAAAGATTTTGCCATTGCTCCCGAAGTTGCTGCCGGAGCCTGATAAATTCCACCGGCGGTCATACGATGGCTTAAGATGCCCTCACGAATGGCCCGATNGAATGCCTTACGAAGGGCAAAATGGACACACGAAGTCTACACGAAAATGAACCTTCACAAGGTCCTTCGGCAATGCTTTGTGATGCCAAAGATGTTGCCACCGCTCCCGAAGTTGCTGCCGGAGCCTGAGAAACTCCACCGGCGGTCATAGCCTACGATGGCCTAAGATGCCCTCACGAATGGCCCGATGTTGTTACGATCAGAGCCGAATTTGAAAATTTCCTTAATCGTGTGTCCATCGGGTGTCAATTTCGGGACAGTGTGACAGCTGCTTTAGCAAAGCCGTAAAGGTAAAAGAACACATGATCTGTTGTTTGGACTCAACACAGTGTATGTAGCAGCTCAGCACAACAATAAAAAGCTCCTAAAAAGATTTCTCTTTAAATAAATGACAAGCTAGACTCATTGATAGAAACGTAATGGTCTTTATCAATTGTAAACAATGTACATTACATAAAGCTGCTGTTCTTAATGAAATACAAACTATAATGTTTTACAGCCTTGAAACAGGGGTAGAAAAGCATTACTCTTGATTGGATTGAGTAAAGAACAATCTGAACAGTCATACTGTAAATATCCCCACCCAGGAATAAAATGTGGCTTGGTTACCTCCCTGGATCAGTGGACTTTTTGATGTGTCATACTGTCCGTGCTTCCAGCTGTAATCGTGGACATGTTTACAGCGTGGACATGTTTACAGCTGGAAACAATTGTCAAGCAGCACTATTGCTTAAAAGGGATGCAGTGAACCTAATTTGAACCTTATCCATGGTTTGTTTCACCTGATGTTTGCAAGGGTTTTCTACAGACATGAGTGAAAGATGAACTTAACCCAAGATGCGAATGCTTTCTGTCTGTGTGTTAGCCCTGAGATGGACTAGCCACATTGTACATAAGACGTCTTACTGCACTTTGACTTGGAAACCACATTAAAGCCTGTTTATTGCATATGACATCTATCACCAAGTGTGAAAGAATTTCCGTACCAAGAATTAAAGGCCAACAGACATCAGAGCAGCGAAACTGAGACAAAAAAAGAACAATGTGGGTCAACCACACCAACAAAGACACACATCCTTTCACTTACTTTGGACTTCTTCAAAGAAAATAACGAAAAACATGTAAAAGCAATGAGATGACAGTGATATAAAAGTGCTATTAAATATAATATTTTAATAATTTTGTTTTGAATTCATCTTAATTAATGACAACATGGATATGGAAAAGTTTCAATTTATGTTGACTTGTAAGGTTAAGGTTAGTTTATTTATATGGCACATTTCAGACACAAATGCAATTCAACTTGCTTTACATAGTCATTAACACGTAATGATTACAAACTAAATAAATTGACCAAAAACACAATTCATAAAAGAGATACAAAATGTTTTTAATTGTGATGTTGCCTTAAAACACTATTTAGGAAGTAAAACATTTGTATCAGATTTGTATGAACTTGAAAAAAAACCATTATGTTTTCAATCACTTTAGTCTGAAGACTTTTCATGTTATAGAAGAGACTTTTACTTTGAGGTTAGTCCAAGGTACACCCCTTTTTCTCACAAAATGCATGTAGCCTACTATAAAGATATTCATCCGTGGACGTATGAAATATCTGTGAAATAAAAATAAATGCGGCTCTTCTTGTTTATATAATTGCTACTGAAAGCCACATGACGCGTTGAAACCACAAAATGGGAAGTGTGATGTCCTCTGTTGAAACGCACCTGGTTTTCATTTTTATATATAGATATGAAATGAGTACATTATGATTATTGATGCTTTAATGTGTTCACCACATCTGGTAAAGGTGGAGCTAATTTAATTACTTTATATATTGCTGCTGGATATCTGTACCTAAAAGTATATATTTATAACTAGTTTTGTTAAATAAATGCAGTGGAGTGAAAAGTACAATATTGGCTTACAAAATAAAGTAGAGTAGAAGTATAAAGTAGCATGACATTTAAATACTTAAATAAAGTAAGTAGCCCAAAATCGTACTTGAGTAAATGTACTTCAATACCTTACACCACTGAAAATCAACAAATTCGATTAAATGTATGTTGGTCACTGTAACTAACATTTAAAAAGATTTCCAATTAATATCAAGGCTTAACAAACAACAAGGTCGTAAAACAACAAACACACCTTCGTGAAGTAATATAAGCACCGGGTAACTTCAGGAAGTGAGAAAGGTGAGCACGAGATTGACGTAATGTCTACAATGCCAAAGTGTGTTTTACTTACCGACATATTGATAGGATGTATTAATCCCAAAATCAAAAACCAGGAAGCTTTCAAATAAATCCTCATGTTTGGGTTGAGTTGGTGTTCAGTTTATTTTGTACTCTTCCTCGAGCCTCTACCTGGCCGCCCAAGCCACGCCCACCAATAAACAGGTTCAACGGTGACCTTTAGATGCTACCCTGATAAACATCCACTCGTGTTTTTAATTCAAAACACAATATTTGAACCAGTTACAATTATTGAATGGGTCCATGTAACTTCAGAAAATGTCCTTAGTTGCAAGAAATAATAATTACGTACATACAAATATATTTGGCTTCCTTAATCATTTGTAAATGTTTTTACAGAATAAAATACCTATGAAGCAAAATCTCTGCGATCAATTTTAGTGCAAGGATAAAAGTACTTTTAGTACAAATTGCTACTATCAAAAGTCATATTTGATCAATTAGCCTATTATTGATGCACTAGCAGTATTGTATTATTGTAGCAGGTCAAGGTGGGCTTATATACCTTGGGAAGTTTCATGTAAAACAATGCAAAGTATTTTTTATATGGTCAATTTTGTCAGAATTGTCTGAATTTCAATGATGCAAAGTTGTATTACACAAAATTTGGATGCAGCTGTATTTGTACTACAATCAATTGAAATCCCTTGACTACAATCAGCTCATTTAAATGTTATTAATTATACAACTTCTACAACCAATTAAAATGTAGAGTAGCGATATGGTGTAAACAGTATGCATTACCACTGGTCAATATTCCTAACAATCAAGTGCTTAGGCTAGTTTTTTTTCAGCCATTAGTGCGGACATTTTGTTTAAGTGTCATTAGTAGGGATAGGAATTTGCATCAAGTCAGGCAGTGTTTAGTTATATTGTGATTGGCCTACCATTTAGTAGAGTAAATATTAAAACCAGTTCAAGATGCATTGACCCTTTCTCCATCTGGACACAGATTATTATCAGGAGTAACACATCCTTGCAAACATTTATAAACAAGATAAAAAGGCTTAAAGAAACATGAGAACAAAAAAACACAACAATGCAGATCAAATGTTAGAAGAACAGTTTAATCATTACATAGTCACAATTCTGCTTCCAAAAATGAGTTTGTTTTCTTCATCTAACATCTGGAAATGTACATAAGGCCACCTGAAAATGTACATGACTTTGACAGTGTGACAAAACTCATATGTTCATATTTATATAATTGACAATATTTTACATTGCTTTTGCTTACAAGGTAGAAGCTGTTCCAAAATACAGCACTCTTCTGTACAAAAATAATTCTTGTCATATCCTGTGAAGTTTCCATGGTAGCAGAGAGGACTAAATGCAGCCTCAGTTTTAGTACAGAGTGTTTTTTTCTTCTTCTTTTTAAACTGTCACACTTTAGAAAGACTAACAGTGGATGTTTCAGCTCCAGTACAAATAGAGGCTGGCCTTTCCCATAACAGATTAAAAACAAAAACCATGCCAGATTGTGAAGCCATAAAGTTCTTTTTTCCTTTAAAATAACACTTGATCAAATAAAACTGTATACATTATATTCAAGGGGAAAGGAGTGATGAATATACACACATCAAAATGCACATCTTTGCCTTCATCTCCCCCAAAAAGTGTAAAAGACATCCCATTTACAGCATAAACGTTTACAAATGTACAACTGTACAGACGAAATAAAAGCATAACTACAAATTTAGAGCAAGGCCTGTCAACACCACGACTAGACGTTTTTTTTTCAATTAACTAATAACATTACATTTATTAACTGCACATATACTACATGTATTCTACAATTATTCATTTGAAGCAAAGAAGCCGTCACTACGAGCATTACAGGTAAATCGCATAGCTCTCGATGGCCCCACCAGCCTCCACCAACGCACTTGCATACCCAACCAAATGAAAAAAGGTTTTAAAAAACAAAAACAGAACCATTAAAAAAAGGTTCCTTCGGCATCCTTTCTTCAACTCCTCCCACTACTTCTAGTTCATTTCACCTCAGATGTACAAAGCTGGGATAAGCTTCACTTCACAACATTTTTTTTTTTACTCTACTCTGACTTTAGGCGGTGGGGTTCCCATCGTCGCTTCAAGCCCCCTACCCAAAAGCAACAATTTACTCATACATAAAGATGCTATACATCGCTAAACTACTTCTACGCAAGAGATGATTATTCAGTACATAAAGATACCGTTTCTAGGGCAGTGTTCATCTCAAAGTACAAGACAGATAAGATGTTACACAAAACATGATAAAGAAAAAAATCATTCCAAGGATTAAAACCTGTCACAGCATGCCAACACATACCCCACCCCACTAATCCCACAAAAAGCCCCCCCCCCCCCCCCCCCCCC